GCACCCTGTAACACTCATGGGGTTTTCCCGACTCTTGTTTTCCATCCGGTTTGAACTAATGCCTGTACAGCAAGGTATGTAAGAAATGACTTCACTGGATAGATAAACGTTCAGGGCAACGAACCTCAACGATGTGCTCAGACTATAGGCTAGGGAGAATGTATGAGAGAAGAGCAAGTCGGAGAAGTGATCTGCACTGAGGCATCAGTTTAAGAGTGGCGTTGCTTCCGTAGAGAATAAAGTGGCTTCATTGTATATTGCATCGAGTTAGGGCATTCGCTTATCAATGTGATTGTCTCCCTAGGATTGAAAACATTCCGTCTTGTCTGTCTGTCTGATTAACAATCTCAAGGGAACTTTGACCAGGAACTGGTGCAGCCACAATACACAGACGCATATCGTGATATGACAACATCCCAGATGTCACTAGAACTGGCAAACTTATTTAGTTCTAGCGACAAACTAGGATACTAAGCTTTTATTTCTCCTAGCTTCTACCTAGTATCATATGGTTAGTGCGGAGTACTCCCTACTAGGGATATCATTTTCCTACTGAAGTGAATGCTAAACAAAGTGTGTGACAAGTGACCATCCTACAGACTGCTGCCCGTGTCCATACCTGCGCCTATACCTAAACCCTCTGCAGTTACGCTGTACTATAGCTGCTATAACCTGTTATCTCTTTTGGCCTGTCGTCCAGAAGAGGAAACCTTGCGCATGTGCCTGGTAGGTTGAAGGAAGTGTGTATATTAGAACTGTTAGCACCCCTGACAACAGCATGAGAGGAAATGAACCAGGAAAGATAAGGTTGGAGGCCATATCCTACAGGGCTGAGGCGATGGGATATTACCTAAGAGAGTATCTGATAGTTAGTATTTCCATATGTCTGTCAGAAGGCTAAGTTTAGACCTGGACTGAAATGGATAAAGGGACTGTATCATTAGATAGGTTTTTGCGTATTCACTGACCTGAGCTTTACTTTATAAAGGTCTCAAACATCCCACATATTGTGTCTAACAATTTCCTTTTTAAATAAAGCTGGCTAGTTACAAGGAGATAGGCCATGGAGTCCTCAAATCCTAGCTTTGACATACTTTCTGACTATGAGGAGGCGATGTTGGAGTCTTAAAGCGTGCAGGAAGTTCTTGATCATCTTTCAGTAGGGTTACTCTCAAAACTTGATATTCAAGTTCTCTGCAGCTTTGTTCAATATGGAGAGGAACCCACAGAACAAGAAGAGCTTCGAATGAGCCTGGCGAGAAAACTCTGGGATCAAGTGTTACGACTTTCACCCTCAGTGGTGTTGGGCGTGCATCCTTGTCATGGTTCGATGAAAAGACCCAGCAATATCTAAGATCTGCTGTTGCTGGAAAGCGGATTGATCAGGAATGGGTCCATAACTTTCTGTTGTGGGTGTGGAGGGATATGAAGCAAGCAAAAGAGACTGGACTGGAGCATCCAAAATGGTATAAACCAGTCGATCCATTCAATATTGCTGAGGTCCAAGCTCTGGAAAGAAGCCAACAGCCTCCATCTGTGGCCAAGGCGAAAGCACCTTCTAGGACTCCTCGACCGCGCTTTCGCAAGGAGCTTCCTCAAGGAGTAGGATGGCCTGAATCTGTTATGCAAGAGTCAATGCCAACGGTGCAAAATCCTGCTCGCTTAGAAGTATGTACGATCAGAGCACTCTAACATCTTATCTTCTCCCTGTTGAGAAATGGACTAACCCAGCTAAAGGCACTTAGAATATCCCACTCAATAGTTTTCCCAGACATACGGAAAACAGCAGAAAGACTCATTTCAACCCTGTCAGAGGGAGCAATCACTATCCACCCAATAATCTCTTACCCATTGCTCTTTAACAAACTTGGCGGAACGCAGAACCTATTGAAAATGATGATGGAGTCCCTAAAGCCAGCGATTCAGGCGCTAGAGGGTAGGAGAATCACACGCATAGAGTTAGTCTGGCTCTTCTCTCCCTTCTCGATATTCCTAATCATGCTAAGTCTCTGCTTAGTCTGGACCATATCATGAGCGGACAGCCTTCGCCTTCGTTATGGCCGAGAAGGGGCGGTTATCTTGTATATGTCACCGATGCTGAACAACGGAATCATTGGAGACCATACGTGGGTCAATCCAATGATCTTGTTCGACGCATCAGTGAGCATTCCTAAGCATTTACTGATCAGCATGAGAATACTCTATTATACTGGATTAGCTCACGGAGCTTTCGTGGAGATGAACTTTATCCAGCTATGGACGTTGCCTGAGCATGTCATGAACAGCTCTAAACAAGTCCGCGATATATTAAACAACATGATGGAAATGCTGATGTCATTGTGTTTTCAAACTCTGCCACAAGCTCAACTTTCAATATTCTTGGCCGGCCATGAACATCTGGCGACCACAGGCGTCAATGTCACCTCACCACTCATTCAAGGGGTTGTGCTTAGTGGAATTGAAAAGGAGGCATATCGGCTTCAACTCTTAGCCTCAGTTGATTCAGAGATTCGGGCCTTTCCTCAAGCCAGAAAGCAACAATTGATGGAGAAACATTGGCGCTCATTCTCTGACCAGCCAATGGAAATCAATTACCAAGATGCCCTTGCTGAAGCATGCAGCTCATTAGACCTTCCTGAGAACTTAGCTTTACCATTTGATGGCTGCCTCCCTTGTTCGCGAGAGGACGTACTAGACTCGAGTATCGACACTGCTCTCCAAGAAGCAACTTACGGACTTGAAAAAATTAACAGGTAGCACCGTTCTACTTAGCATGCCATTTGGCTCTTTTGCAGCACGGCTTGGGATTATACTCGACCATGATCTCTTACGCAACGATGAGTCTGATATCCCAACTGCCCTCAAAGAGATTGGTTTTCATCATGAAAATTGCCTTGTATGGCCATTCAACCTTCAGAACCATTACCTAGTATCCTCTTCTCAGATCAGACACCTAGGTTCTGAAATAGACATCTTGCGTCCGTTGAACCAGAGAATCATTGAAGTATCCAACTCGAGAGTGATAATTCTCTGTGGTGACAATGCCGAGGCCTGTATCTTATCCCCAGAACTGCATCCAATTGACATCGAACTCGGGAATTGTTCATATAGGTCGTTTGTGCAGATCGAAGCTTCCCGCATTAAGAGAATTACGTCAATGCCTCGGCAGCAGTTTCTTACCTATACTCGGTCAACTGGAATGAGAGCTTGAGGTTTGCCCTCGCAATAAAACTCGCTACACAGATGACCTCTACCTGCAAAATCAGACCATTTCTTTACAGATCCAGGATGGCGCTCCTTGACATTGTTATCGCGAGCTTCCATGAAACTGATGAAGAAGAGATGACCCCTGAGACAATGCCTGCAAGCATTAAAGCCTGGTTGTTTACAAAAGGCTTTGCTTCTGATGATGATTTCAAAAAATTGGAAGATCTAGGCGGAACTTTCACGAAAGGTCTTCTACTTGCAATGTGCACTGCGCCTTCTTGTCCTGAGAGTGAGAAGCTTCCATCTGAGAGGCCTATTCTTTCCAAAAGGAAGTCTGATTCACGACTTTTTACAAAGAAGCAACTGGATGAGATGCGATCTATTCATAAACAGAAAAGGTTGGAGATTTATTCCCGATATCCAGGGACGGCAATTGTCGCAGACAGTATGGATGTCCCGGAGACGTCTTCGGTGGGTGATGATTATGAAGATGAAAGTATTCAACAGAATCTCCTGGATAGGCTTTCAAATCAGTGTCTGAGCGATGAGGGATCCGTGCAAAGTGTCATCAGAGATGTCCTTTCAGAGAATGTGTATGAGAACATTGCTTCGGAATCCATCTCAGCTTACAAAACCCCCAAAGAGAGGAAGGCCTAAGGGGCTTATTCCAGCACACATCAAGGAGCTCAGGGCAGGTGAGAATTGTTGGTGGTGTGACGCTATCCTCGACAAGAGTCGCTGTTGGAACTCTGACCTTCAGGAGCGACTGTGTCATAGATGTGCAATGACTGCCCTAAACTCAGGCCGTCTGCAGATCTTGAAAAAGCAGATAATGGAATTGGAAATACGCTGCGGTTGTTGCAGGTCCATATACGGGTCACATTGGAACTTCAACAGAGCGACGAACCTTCCTACATGTTCTCTTCATTGCCGGTCGATGATGCTTCACAATGATGAAAGTGAGTATCCAGATCGGTCAGACGCACTGCCACACTCAGACGAAGCACGCTATCAAGATCAGTGTACCGACCATTTGTTTATGAGGCCACCGGTGGTGGCCTATTTCAAAGATGTCCACGATATCGATACCTCTATTGTATCGCTCGTTGCGAAAAAGGAGTCCAGATCCGATTTTGATTGCAGAATTAACGAGGAATCGCTTTGAGCTGGGCGAATCAATCAGTTAGATGTAATGGCAGAGATTCCAAGCTGGCCAGTCCCTAATGATTTGAAACCCCACCTATTCTCCGAATGCCATTTACTTTTTCCACATACTCCAACTTCATCTTGGCTGAATTTCGTTTCTCTGTATGGAGTTACACAAGAGGGCTTTAGAGCGTTCACGCTCATGGTTGAGTTTCTGCTCGAGTTCATACCGGCTAGCTTTTCGAACTATGGCAGTGCTTCTGGGAAATTTGATGGTGATGGATAATATTCAATTAAAACAATGTGTAAATCATTGCTTTTGAATATAGAATATGATCCGGCACTGAATCATGGAGATTGAGAAAGACATGCTGCTGTCTTCTCGGTTACTATGAGAATTGTGCTGTGCAGGAAAGCCAGACTCCAAGCCTGCACTACTCTGCAATTAGGAAATGTTGAAAACCATAAGAAAGATGTGTAGTAGTATTAGATGTAGGATGAATGAGGGCCTGTTTATTTCTCTAGGGTATTCGATCCACACCCGAATTTCTACTGCGACACCTACCCAGATACCCAAGCAGACACGTACAGAAACATGGTACTCATAATGATGTGGTTATCTTTCCGGCAGCGCAAAAAACAACGTAGCCCGATTAACTCAGTTGGTTAGAGTGTCAGACTTGTAAGTTCTAAGTTCTGATTAATAATCCACCAAACCACCACTAATGACATCTCAGTTATGGTAAGAGATCTGAAAGTCGCGAGTTCGACCCTCGCATCGGGCGAGTCACTTTTTTTGCCTCTCCATGATACTGATTGCCTACTGAGCTAATGATGGTCTTTTATCATTAGCCTTTCCGCGGATTTTGAGAGAAAAATATAGATATGCAGGTGATATAATATGTGAAGTATACCATAGAACCCACACACTAAGGTACCTTATCGACCATCCAAAATTCAGGCAATGAATAGTCCGTACGAGAGAGAAGTACTCCGTAGGTAGCAAATTTTTGTCAATGCGCAAAGCAAAACTGAGCTAGGTAGCTTACAGTTCTAAGAACCTCGGAACTTTTCATCCAATAGCCCGATTAACTCAGTTGGCTAGAGTGTCAGACTTGTTCGTACCCCTCTTAGTCATCATCTTCTTCCGCACATTGCTAATTTCCACCTAGTTAATCTGAACGTCGGGGGTTCGAGCCCCCCATCGGGCGCTTTACTTTTTTTTTTCTTTGTTATATCTTCTTGTTATATCTTCTTTCTTTTAACTTCATCCTTATTTTACTTCATCTACCCTTCGGATATCCATACATCCTCTCGTTCCCCCTGTAAGGGGGACTCTCTGTATCACTACCGTACTGGTCATTAAGGCCGACCCACTGCGTTTGGAAAATTGGACCATCCCAGCAGTCCGGGTACAGGTGTCTCACGTTGTCTCAGTGAATACCTCTCGAGAGGTCGGAGAGAATAATAGTAGGGGGTGCTCCAGCAGATGACGTTGTCCTACAGGCTGCCATTTCAGGTGTCGTTCTTAGGTGAAATTCTGCGTCGCGCAGTGATTTCATCCCTCATCCATCCCAAACAGTGTGATATCAGCAGGGACATCATAGGTGGTACTTGGGACCACATTGCTCTACTGCTCTCACCATATTCATGACAATTGTCTGAGTGCTAGTACCTACACTACGAAATATCATTCGTACTCGAAGGGTTCTACCTTGGATCTCCTGTGGATAACCACGCTCGTGGGGTGGTCCAATGAACTCCGGGTTTGGACTCGGGATACGAAAAGATGGCCTTCAGAGTAGCAAACAGTGATGGATGGTACGGCGTAGGAGAGGGAAAGATTAGAGTGACTTGCCTGACCGGGGGAAGATCTGATACCGCTGATCTCATTCGATTCCAGCAACATCCACAACTGTGTCGCGACAAACATCATGGAATCTAGAACCTCGTTAACGATCAAGCGGACATGCCAATCTGCCCCTTTTCGAATATGGTGCCGTTCCCACTCGGGTTTCCTTGCTGCCAATCAATCGGCAAAAGACCCAAGCAGGGACGTTAGCCTCCTACCTCCTCCTAGAGCAGGTTCCTCTGCGTCATAGCTCGTCCGCTGGTACTATACTGATGGGCCACGAAATTCATCGGAAAGTCGCGAATGCGCCATGAAACTAGTATGTAAGTGTATGACCACATTAAGTTAGGTGCTTCAACTCCAGTCTCCAAGCTCTGTCGATGTCGATGTCGATGTCGACTATTGACGTATTGACAGCTGTAGACCGCAGATCAGTCAGAATATCGCGTTGCATTCCCTAGCGAGAAAAAGTTGGCGATGCATTGACAAAATGACACACATGAGCGAGGGGGGGAAGGTGACAAAATGACTGCATCTTTTCCTTCACTTTTCTTTTTATCTTTTCTTGCTTTTCTCTCCACGGTCCACGATCCATGGGCCGAAGGAAAGTCTATTGGCTTCTATTGGCTTCGGAAAAGGATTGCGAGGGAGGGGGGAGAAAATGGGACAATATATATTGGACCAATTTAACTAAACTATCTTCGGCGGAAGAGGCGAGATTAACCATTTGCCGACATGGCTTGGCCGGAGATTACCAAGGTATACTGAACCGTTAACTTTGAATTGCTGCCATAGGATTGGTTTGAATATCGCCTCAAGATTGGCCATGATGTCCACTGTGTTGACAAGACTCGAAAGTTGTGGCTGCGGTAGGTAAGTATCCATACTCCGCACACCGATCATCGTGGTCAACAGTTCCGAGCTCCTGGGTCCAAGACATTCGGTCTTCCGATTATTGCAAAACGTTATAAATTGAGATTGAGGTTCATATTCAACATGCTCATATTTCTATGTATCTACAAGAGTCATCGGCTTCCAGCAGATATATAAGGTAGCATATACCACTCTATACTTGATGTATCCGTGGCACAAGCCACATGACATCATTCAGTAACCTCAGACACCCAGGCTCGTGCTTTTTCTCCACCACCAGAAACGACAAGATGGAAATCCATCGAAACTTCACCCAGGCTGATGGCGTAGAGCAGCACAGACACAGGCATGTCATCTCTAATTCATGCACAGGAAGCACCAAAAGAAATGAGGGTCCGATCTACAGCTTCAACCAACAGGCCGTTCTCTGTTTCATCCACCTGCCTACCTAGGTAGCCTAGGTTATCATCGAGCGAACTGACCAAGCGACCCTGACAACCTGACATTGGCTGATCTCTCGGTCTGCCTGATGGATCTTCAGTGCACAATTGTGCAGTACCAATCTGTCTTTGCTATGCGGCCTATCCACCTGTTCTACAGCATAGCTCTAGGCCTCTAACGGCCATGAGCCTGACACTATACTCGATTTGTTGCGGGATACTCTCTGCATGGACTGCTTCTTATTCGTCCCTCAACAGATGAGTTCTCCCCAACGGGCCAAGGAACACTTATCTCGCTTTCAAGCTATTTTAAATACACTACACGGAGCCACCAGGATCAAACTCGCATCGAACCTAATGATTTAGCATGACAACTAAACTCGATTCATTGGCACATCTGGTCCTATGTTTCTTAGAATGGATCAACACAGTTTGCCTGTGTAGAATCATGGATAGCTCCCAGGCACTCATCTCCACGCGGATAACCATACAGACAACAGTCTCTCAGCAACTACTTGAATGCCTGCCTCGACGCCATCTGGGCCTCAGACTCTCTCCAATTACAACGCATCGACCGCATTGACAGAATTGTTTCCCAGTGGTGATCTGCAGGGACGGTTTGCCTCGTCTTGTCGATCGAAAAGCGCCATCAATTTCCCGTGGTCCACTCCCCGACCCTCCAGTGACCTCATTCCGGTCCCCCGTAAGACTATCTGGGGGTCCGCCGACCCATCAGATTGTGGTGGAGTCTGTTATTATTGCCAATCCCAGCCATCCTCAGTGTACAGTGCCCCCTAAAAAGGATTAACTACATGACAGCGTCCCGTCGATTGTATTATTACTGACGAGTCCGAGCAAACAGGAAAAAAAATCCTCCAAAATTCTCTTCCCTTCAGTCTTTCTTTTCTTCCTCTATTTTTGTGTCACTACTGTCGGCTGGACGTCCTGGCCAATGATGTCATCTGATTCTAGCCCCAGAGGACTCCAGTCTCCAGCAATACTGGACGTGGGTATAACCCCCGATTTGAGTATTGATCGATGGTTCGCCTGTCTGTGGGTCCGGATGAGATATGCCAGTCAAGCTCGTTCTTACCCTTTGCCTTTGGGGAGTGCCTGTCACTGGGACTGTGATCTCATCTCAGACCCCGAGGGGGATATATGCCCTTACTCTCGAGAATTATCTTCGAAAATATTGAAGCACAAAGATAGAATATTTCAAGTGACACCTGTCTTACCCATTCTGTGTCTGCATCAGGACTCCGTGTCCAAGCCACATCCGTACTAGTCATATCTAGACCCTAGGGTATTTGCGTGTCTTTCCCCTCCTGACACATCCTGTGCTTCGTTTCCTTAGTATCCCGTTCATTCTCATCTTGTCATTGTCTGTGTCCTCTGCTGCTTCTTACGACTTCGAGGCCGTCTAACTGCTTCTCTTTCGTCCTGTGTGGCACTTGTCCCCCTTGCTGACTCTTCTCGCGGAAAAGGTGAGCATGCAAAATTTTTATCGTGTCCCACTCAAAGAGTCTTCCCTCCCCTCCTCCCACCTTCTCTCTGCTATATTACTTCTTCTTGCTGTTGAGGAGCGGTAGCGGTAGCAGCGGCAACAGGGCTGATGCACATCTGAAACCGTCTACGCCACGTCATCAGCAAGTGACTCGACAAGATGGACGACGATGACGATCCTGTCCAACGCAATCTCCCCGTATCACCGGCTGATATATTGTAGAGCGGCTAAGGCACTGGGAGAATGATGGATATCAACAAGACTGACAGTGTCTCATAGAAAACAACGCAAGGCAAACTCGCGGCCATGCAGCAGCCCAAGAACACGGACCCAGCTTTCCCTGTTGACGGAGGGGGCTGTCGACCTCCGGGCGAGACCCACATTGAAACCCAACGATCGGTGGATCCTAATATGTCTGTTGAAGACTACAACCGCGTTATGCTGCAGTATACCCAGCGACGCATGTCGACCTTCCTGGACATGGGCAACGACGGCGGTCCTCCTCCCAGTCGCAGTAGCCGGAGTAGCGACAGCAGCGGCAATAGTGGTATCTCAACCAGTGGTGTGCTGGCCCGTCAGGCTGCAGCTCCTACCTCTCTGGGAGTCCCTCGCCATCACAACTCCCAGACACCCTGTCATCAGCCCGTGAAGCACGCTGGCGAACCGAAGACAGGGCTTTGAAGTTCCATGTTCGTGGGCTGACAACGACTACGGGGTGGGTCGCGGGATCCAATGTCTCTCATATGTCGTTGACCAGTAGCCATGATGACGATGATGATACGGTGTTTTCTTTCTTGATGAAAGAAGTGTTGGTGCTTTAATGGGAAGGTTCAATGGCCAGGAACTCTGTTCCTAGTCGATCTTTCTGGAATTTTGATGAGTTAGCGAGGAAGCGTTCTACGATTTTCTAGCGACAGCGTGGCGATCCTTTCCGAGTGTGTTTTCTCGATCTCTGTCGCCGAGATCATCGCCTCCCTTTGTTGTTCAACTGCCCCTTTTATTTTTATTCTATTCTTTCATACCACTAGAACACGCTGGTTCCTACACTTCATCCGACGGATGCTGATTTTATCCTTCTCAGATACCTCCTGGCATCTAATACATGCGGCATAGTAGAAACCAACCATCTCCGACAGAATTCACTTTCGCCTTCAAAACCTCTTTCTGAGGTTGATTGGGAATTCCTTCAAGGTGGCGTTATCAAGTGGCTCCCCAGTTGCTAACCGCCCCCCTTCTGCTCTGATTTTTTATCATCTTCATTTGTTGTCATTCGTTTGGCCTGATAAAGGCACACAACCATTTCGCACTCACCTATTGATTGTAGCTGTTCGGTGTATGTCTTCATATTCTGACAGCAGGCAGTCAATCAACAAATTCGGTGCAACAGCGCCTCATCCCAGGATATCTGCTGGTCCATGATTCATCTTCTCAGGGGGAAGAGAGAGTCATCTTTGTATGAACCACTGTTTCATTACTGCCGGCGTGATTTTTCTGGACGTTCTGGGTCGAAGGGAACTGGTCTTCCCGTTACTGACTATATCTTGTTACGATGCTACGACCTTCCTGCTCATGATGTGTTCTATCTGTGACTCGCGGCTACGTTTAGTGAACCTAGGGCGGCAGCTCGAGGATTTATGCACGATATTAATGTCTTATTTGGGTCATTCTGGGCTAACTAGGGTCGACGCTGAACCAATTGTAGGTATTGTTTCGAAACGTAGGTGCAGGGGAGGGCTCGAGTTTCTGGTCAATGTAGTCCCTTGCATGGGCAGGGTGGCCGACTCAACCGATCACTCAGCTTTGGAGTAAGCATCACCATTGGCCATCGTGATTCTATTCCAGGATGTATGGAAGGGATGGGCATGAACCAACCCCAGAAACTTCGCCCTCCATACAACTAGAGGCCGCCCTCTGTTTGAGACACAGGATAGTCGCAGTCATATACCTTCAAAGATGCTGCTTCAATGCCAGAATTGTGATTTCCTCATTCGCATTCAGATCCCGATCTCTGCAATGCCGTCAGAACAGCTCCCGATGGATCTCGCGCGCATTCCATTCATACTAGATCGGGATTCAGACAACATTCCATAGAAACAATTTACATATTCAAAGACGCGGTTATACCACTGACGTCCATCCATACCTGTCTTGGACGTGTGATCCAAACACTGTGGTATGGTTCACAGTCAATGAAACACTTGCTTCTGCCAACCTTTAACAAGGATAACGGCACATTTACCTGCAATGTCTGGGACAATCGACCCCTTCACCAACTAACCGATTCGACGTTTCACCCTCGTCTTCCCTTCCTTCGAAACCCGCCTGCGAACTATTGTATATTTATCGGCCTCTACCAACCAACACGCGTTGCAACAACATCGAACTCGCCAACGCGCCAACTATAACCTCGACACACGAACAAAAGCGACAATCAACCAAAATGCGTCCTCTAACTATCCTCTGCGCCCTCGCTACACTCTCCACCACACTCGCAGTCCCCTTCTCCCACGCATCCAACTCAACCAGCGCATCAAAATCGACCCCCTCATCAACAGTGCCGGCGAGTCTACCCTCGCCAACACTCAGCGGACCTAATTCCTGTCCCCCAAACAAGTTCAAGCAATGCTGTACAACCCTCAGCCAGGTAGGCGACGACCTCCTCAAGCCATTGGGGATGGTCGTTCCGCTCGTAGGGGCGGTCGAACTGAGTTCGCTGGTCGGGGTGTCGTGTAAGTTCCTTACCTTTTACGGTCTGGTGTATCGCGCATGGACTGATCTGGATCATACTAAAGGCAGGAACATGCCCGACGCGGCCCCAGAAACCGACTGCGCGAATGCAGTCATGTGCTGTGATTCTTCGGCTGTTGTGAGTGCATGCTGAACGCAATTCAATTTCGCGAGGACGGAAGTGGAATGGAGTTGACTGACTTGGTTTTCTTCCCAGGGCGGAGACCTCATGCAGACTTCCTGCCAGGACTTTGCGCTCGCGAAGAAGCGTGAGCGGGAGGCGATCGAGCGACAGCAGAGGCGGTTTTCGGAGTATCAGCGGATGATGATGTCGCAGTCTGCTACGCCTACCCCGACGCCGGTCGGCGTCGGTCTGATGGGCTCGTCTTTCTCGAGGGCGAGCGCGACGCCGACTAGGATCCAAGGTGGACTTTTGTGATGTATGGAAGGAGGGGGGCATAGTAGTTCTTCGTGTGGATAGTATGATGTGGGCTGGTTATGGTGAGGATATTGGCCTGCTGTTCTTCGAGTGCTCTTTTTTTGGTGCTTGGAGCCTTTTTGTTGCATTTCTTACATTCCTCTGATGTTTATAGCATTATTTACCGATTTTGCAAGGTTTGAAGACTGAATTGTAATATTGTTTTTCTCCCGCAATTGTGATTGCTGGAGTGTCATACTCATTTAAAATATATTTCATGCACTAGCAGAATGTAAAGGTAATGTACAGTAGATCCTTCACCCGCCTAGTTCTACCTCCAGCCGCGGCCAGACGGCGGATATCCACCACCATACTGGTTCCACTGACCGGACGTGCCCCGTCCCTGTCCTCCAGGATGAGGAGGAGGGAAGTGATTTGACCCCGGGGGCATCTGTTGTGCCGAGCCCATGTTCCACGGAGGAAACTGTCCTTGTGCGTTAAAGGGTGGCGGAAACGCAGACGGGTTCATTCCCGAGCCCTGAGGAGGATATTGCATCGATGGCAATGGCGGAGGAGGGGGCGGAGGCCACTGGCCTTGATAATTTGCTGGGCGAGGTGGGGGAGCGCCTGGTGCCATTCGTGGGGGAAACGCAGGTGGAACAGGTGGCACAGGTGGCACGTTCCCGCCCGGGGGGAAATGCATAGGCGGGGGAGGCGGAGGGTGAGAAGGGTGAAATCCCTGAGGCCCTGTGTTGCTGTACTGGGGGGTTTGGTGTTCAGGGGGTGGATATCGAGGAGGGGACGGTGCGCGTGGAGAATACGACCTCTCTCGGGACCGTGATCTTCGTGAAGAACGAGACCGAGAGTCATAACGCCGGTCATTAGCTTCATGTCTGCGCGGAGCCGATCGGCTCCGCGAGCTTGAGCTCCTCCATCGGCTGTCGTCACTCTCTGAACTGCCACTGTAGCGGCGTCTCCTTGACGGGCTGCGGCTGCGGCTGCCACTCCGAGTGCGGTTTCTCGAGCTGCCCTTGGTTCGTCTTTTTATCATCTGCTGACAAAAGGCACGCGACCATCCGTAGTACGTGTCACCGCCCACAATGTCTCCCGTGGAGCTATCTCGGATAATTGTCTGGCCCATTTCATCAATGTCCACTACTTCATTCTCTTTCTGCTCTGTTTGCCCCGAGTTGTACATCCGATCGACATCCTTGAGGAATGCCTTGAGCGCCGTCACCAGTTTCTCATCCGCTGGTCCAGCAAGGAACTGTAGAGGTTTGATGGTATCTGGGCGTAGGGGAACCGTCGAATCGGGAATGATGTGCGGCACAAGATTGCCGGCTGGGAGGTCATAATAGGGAGTAGAAGAATCTCCGTGGGTCGACGGCATCACAAAAGGGACATTCTTCTCTACGGGTCGGTTGATCGTGTCCGTGTTGTTCTGCTCCACATCGATGGATGACTTGACTGGCCCAGACTCAGCCGAGTTCTTTACAACCTCGCGCAGCTTGTTGACATAATCGGCACCGTAGTACCCATTTTTCTCCCATATGTTCAGCAGATCGTCTAAGCGCCTGTGATGCTTTGGGTTCTTGAATCGATCGTAGGATGCAGCGTAACCCAGTAGTTCCACGATATGCGGTTGTAGTGAACCACTCAGGGTGGAGAATGCCGCAGGGGTATCCGTATGGTACTTGGTATGATGGAAAAGATCGTTGAGCAGATACAGAATATGCAGCCTCTTCCTTTTTGACGAGGTGCTAGGGCGAGCCTCTGCCGGCTTGGACATTTGTCCATTCTCCCCGCTGGTAAACGAACTGGACAAAGCAACCAGGTATTTGGCCCAGACACCCACGCGGTTAGATGACGAGACGACATACTTCAAGAGCCATGTCTTGCATTTCTAATACACGTCGGGAGTGAAAAGTTTAGTATTCCAGTAACACCGACGGGCAGGACTCGACAAGTCAAACCTGGATGTTCGCTACGGAGCAATGCGACAGCGCCGTGTCAAGGAGAGTGTGGAAGGCTGTGATTTCATCGCGCGGGACAGAAGTGGGGTCAGGGCGTAAAAGCCCAGCCGAAAAGGATGCCTTTGCAATGGCAACTTGATGAGAGGCCATTGCCGTGGTAAGCAGGAGAGGAAGAGGAGAGTTGTCAGCTAGAAGAGGATGATTCCAGTGACATTTCGGACTCGATTGCGGGATCTGTCCTTTTACACGTGACCTGACTTTACATTGCTCATAGTTCTCGCACTTCTCGATCCATCTACGCTGAAGGCCTTGAAGGGCAAACGTGGGCGCTCTCAGAGCTCATTTTACCGCTCATGTCTTTTCCGAAGGATACACAAATTGAATCCCCAGATGGTTGTAAGTTGTAGAGAGTGGCATGATCACCTCGGATGTGAAGTATAGCACTTATGCCTCAGGCACTAACAGTTACGAGACACAGTCCAAAAGAAAGGCTCAAGGCCACCAACCTTGAGATACGAGATTCTTTCGATGATATGGTTTCTACTGATGAGTCAGGTTCAACAGATTCATCAGCAACAATAATGGACCAAATGGACGCTGCCAACATATGCTGGTTTCGGAAAACGAAATCCCGCCATCAGCCCTAGCCATGAGTCGCCGAGAATTGCTTCAACGGCTCCATGGACTCCATGGCCCTAAGAATCAGGACGAGAAACGGAGTGGCCACAGCACGCTCCTCTGCGGCCCCGCAGTGATTCGTTCGGCTGGATCTCACCATCATCTGCCTGTCGATGGCGTGAGGATGTACCTCCATTACGTGTACTTGGCCAGGTGCACGGTAATAAAGTGTTAGGCTCTGAAAAAGCTACCTACCTTCGGTGTTGTATCTGTTATTGTCACCAAGGTATTTGGTCTGTCTGGTAAAGACTGCAGACATGGAGTCCAGGTACTTCTGAAAAGTCAAAGAGTGTGGCCACTCGGCCCCCGCCTTCCGATCATCTGCCGACGGATGTGTAGGAGATGGATGATCTGATCTTTGACTCTTGAGTCTCTGACCTTCGTGGATCAGCTCCGCCTCCGTTTACAACAATTAATTTTCTCTCGCTAGAGACTTTATCCTCCCCCTTTCATGTTCACGCCACTCTTCCTCCCCTGCCATCATCACTCAAAGTGGGTCATTGTTGATGGAATCCCCGCAGTCTCTCTCCACCAGGGTTGCAACTGATGTTGGATTGCATGTTGTAAGTACCCTGAGAGGCTCGGAGTAATTTATATTTAGGCATGTAGAATCCATGATATGATGGTCATATAATCTCGGCTGTCCCTTGTACCATTTCGCATTTTCGCAGGCTACCGACTCACTATCGAGTCTCTCTCGATACCTACCCACGCGAAACACCTAGAATCCCTCAGTATACACCTCCACCAGGCATCAGCAGCCATATTATTTGCGAAACAACCAAACACGCCTGAAGAAAGCATAACGAACCTCTACCTCTGCAACAGAGCCATTCAACACAAACAACCTTCTTTTAAGCCCACCGTCAAAATGTCCGTCTCAATCCCCATCCGGCCAGCAATCCGCCATTTCTCTGTCCGCCGTCCGCCACCAGACACTCGCACTTCCAGATTCGTTGCCAGTTCCTGTCTTGTCTCCGCAGTCCTTCTCCCTTTTGTACCTCCGGCACTGGAGAGCTTCCGCGAAAAGGACAAGACTTATTCGAACAAGTGAACTTCCCCTGTACTCTGAACTTCGCCAATCCGCTAATCAGTATACTGATGTTGTTTCAGACCGCATCCACCTCTTTGCTTCCATGCTCGTTGAAGTGCACAAATTATGGACTTTCGACTGAGATAGTCGTCCCTCAATTTGGAAATCGCTATTACGTCTTCCTATTTACCCTCGAGGGCGCTGTCAGCGGGTTACTGGCGGCTTTGACGCAAATATATGAAACGGTCAATGGGACCCTAATAGGGCAGGCCATGCATAGTTGTTTGGGCGTTACTGGTGTTCTGGTATTGCTCCTATGGGGTTCAGTGGGATTAATGAATATCCATTTGTTTTCAATTAGTTAAAATTGAAAGAAGACACAGTATCCATCTTGAACAAGAACATTAGTCCACGCAGTCAGGGTGATGGTGACCAACTGCATTCACAATTAGATGCATCTGGATGATGACATGATGCCTGTACTTTCACTGGTCTTCGGTGAGAACAGTCATTGGTGGTAGGATGATATATGAGGTGAAGAGAGTGCAGAAAAACACAGAGAATATGGTACATAGCTTATCACATCCAACGACAGTGTATTATTACAATCGTTTAGGTGGCTTCCTCATACACCATCCTTTGACGTGCCCTCGCTGAACAAAACCAATACATCGCTCTAGAGTCGGTTGCCCTTCGGAGGTCGAAACGGCTGAGTAGCCTCATATTTCCCCTTCTCGAGTACCCGCTCAGCCTCTGTCTCAGGCTCGTGACGAGTCGGTGCAGGATCATGTCCTGCCTCTGCACTAGGCGAAGCGACATCATCCGCTGCACTCTGGAAGCGAGCCATGTTCGCCCGTTTCAAGCTGGGGTTTTCTGACGGTGCGGTGGTCGGCTCGTTGAGAGTAGATTGGCGTCGATGTTCTGCTTCCATCGCGGCAAGCTGCGCCTTCCTCTTCAATTCTGCTTCATATCTGGATGCACGGTCGGCATTGATGGACTTTTTGGCAAAGTAATAGGCTCCGCCGCCAGCTGCAGGCTTGTCAGTTGCTGGTACTCGAGTAACTTGCAATTGTTGACTAGCAAGGCAAAAGTGAAATGAGAAACTTACCGACGCAAAGAGCTCCCCAGCCGACCCTGTTGACGTGCCAATGATGAATTGAAGTTTAGCAAAGCGTCTCCTTCTCTGTACAATTGCTGAATGGAACTGCGGATAGTATCTACTCACCAGGTTGATCGAATCTATATCAAGAGAACCCCAACAAAGTCAATGCCAATATTCTTCTCTGACGGTATCCATTTCTAGAGTAGTACCTACCGTATTCATTTTCAAAAATGTG